TTTCCTTTGGTGGATTTTTAAATAGTCTAAATGGTCTGAAAATCGGGTTAATTATATGCTAATACCTAATTACACACACTCTCTCTCTCACACACTAGGTTCATGAGACAAGCATTCAGCCAGATCAATCTACCCTTCATCACTTTTCAGACATTCTACACTTAAATTCAAGTCAAATCTAACTATTACACCGAGGTCAGCGCAGCCAACATGTACTAAAGATCCTACCAATGTCAGGCTTTATGCCAGGCAGTATGCTGATAGCTGAGGAGAAAGCAATGAATCAGACAATGAATAAGCAATGAATAATACATGCTCTCTGCCCTCTAGGAACTTCTCAGGAACTCTCACATGCATAACCCTCCTTATTTCCAAACCCAGGTGAAATGATACAGCCTTCCTAAAGCTTTCCATACAAAGAATGGAGTAATTTTTCACAGCTTTAAATTCCATTAGTCACTCTCTACTTGTTTCAGGGTTACTTCTAAAGTCTTATTTCACTTTATATGCTATTCGAGGCTCATACTTGCTAGCCAACTGATCTTTTAGCATGCCCCCCACAAAGCCTAGTTTAGTGCATAGGCTATGATGAGCAAGAAATAAACATCTGTTAAACAATCAAGCATTGGTCTTTTTTATCTTTGTGGTATGTCAGATATACATAGTTGAACTGAAATATAAGGCAATTTTTGCATCCTATAAAACAAAACTTTAATGTATTTTTTCCTATCAGTTAATATGCTGCAAGTATGATTACATTCACCCCAAAGTATCTTTTTTTGCTCTTAAACTGAATTTAAAGATTGAAGATTACTAGATACTACCTACTGATACAGAAGATACTCAGTTAATAAACCAATACTATTCTCTTGCCATGTTTTCTATCTACAAACAAGGGCTGATAAACAGAAATAAACAGGTAGAAAATTTTTTTGATTTTTTTGTTTTTGTGATGCTGGGGATTGAACCCATTGCCTTGTGCATGCAAGGCAAGCACTCTACAAACTGAGCTATATCCCCAACCCAATTTTTTGGTTTTTGTTGTTGTTGTTGAAGTTTCCAGCCAAACACATTTTATAGATTGGAAAAAGGAGAAAAGAGAGCAAGTATTTTAAGAAAAAGGCAGCCAGGTGAGGTGGCACATGCCTATAATCCCAGCAGTTTGGGAGGCTATAATCTCAGCAGCTCAGGAGGCTGACAGAAGGATGAGTTCAAAGCCAGCCTCAGCAATTCAGTGAGGTGCTTAGTAACTCAGTGACACCCTGTCTCTAAATAAAACATTTTAAAAAAGGGCTGGAGATGTGACTCAATGGTTAAGCATCCCTGGGTTCAATCCCCAAGAAAGAAGGAAGGAAAGAAGGAAGAAAGGTAAGGAGGGAGAGAAAGAAGGAAGCGAGGAGAGAAAGGCAAGGAAGAGGAGTGGAAACGAGTGGCCCTGGAAGAAGCAAAGAAAAGGAAACACCTGTTAGAGGCAGCTCTCCAGTTTCCATCTTATTTTCATCAAAATGGAATGGTGATATAAAACAGGTACCTTGATAAGTCTCACCCTCCTTCATTGATACCAACACTACCTGCAATACAATGCTGAACAGGACAATTTTTTTTTTAACCAACAGAAGGGAAAATAAGATATAAACAAATATTGACAGGCACAGTGGTGCATGCCTATAATCCCAAGGACTCAGAATGCTGAAGCAGATAGATCACAAGTTTGAGGC